ATTTAGTTTGTGAATTGTTTTGGCTTTTACATATGAATTATCAGCCATTTTGTAATGGGGAGCAGAGGAATAATCTCCCTTTGTGCAAGTTATTTGTTATAAGTTCATGTGCAGTGCTGTTCTTATATTTATGAAGCCTATTTTGGTGTTACAATGGTGCCTTTTTGGCTGTTCATTGACTCTCCACCCTCAAATGATCAAAGCATTGTATGGGTTACTGTTGGATCTCTTTTCCATACCAGCACTCAAGAAAATTCTTGCACTGTATGTGGGATAGTGAAAGACCAGGCCTTAGGAGCCTCCCTGGTCCCAAGAACCTGTACTACAGTAGAAGATAGTATAAAAATTGAATAGTGAAAGAGAGGGCTGAGAATGGATCGGATCAGGTTCGGATGCACCGGGATCCAGATTCGAAGTATATATGGGATCTAGATACGAATCCAGACCAGATCAGATCAGATCCAGAACATACTTGGTTGATTAGACCTGTGCTCTAATCAACATGTTACTTGTGGAAAAATCAGTCTGACTAGGTGACATAGAGTGAAAAGTTATGACTTTCCTAAGTTGTTGTTTGCAGATTGGGAAAGTGGTTGCCATTCTTATGGAATTTTTAATTTTCATCAAGCATAAAATTGGTATGTCCTTTTAAATTTAAATTGGAATTCATTTTACATTAGAATCAGGATTTCTTTTGCAACCAAGTAAAGTTTAATCTATAAATCAGGGTCATTAGAATGGTTTGATTGAGAGTTATGAGAATTATTGGTATAGGGTCCCAGTTAAACCAGAGTTCACTATGGACCTTGGAATGTGAGCTTCTCCTTTAAAGTGTTAATCAAATTTTCAGCTATGTTTGAATTGATTGGCAACTGAAGATAAACTTCTAAGCGATCAATTTTAGCCTCATTTATTTCCTTAAAAAATATATACCTTTTTTTGTGAGGAAGAAATAATCGACTATATTGCTTGTTCTGCTTAACTTCATTAGGAAGTTTCGAAGGAATGATTCTTCTCCAGTTTGCTTGTTATGGTCATGATACCTTTATAATTTGGTTCAAACATTCATATGAAAACTGGAACATCATTGCCATTATGGACTTCTGAGCAAACCATGATATGCATGGAAGGAAGAAATAACTGGAATCTGAGGTAAACTTGAAAGGACCAGGCAAGATTGTTTCGACTGATCAACTGGGATGTGATTGGGTGGACACATAGAGATCATGTCTGGAAAACTGAAGATGCTGCATATACAAGTTCTGTTAATAAATGTTATTATTCTCCCCCAAGGTTTAACTTGTAGTGGAAGGGCTTGCTTAATTCAAAGAGTCATGCCGTCAAACTGCAAATAGTGTTTGTACAGGAACATCGGACTGGCTTGCTTTACTCCAGCTCTTTCAGCTTGTTAGAACATTTGATGTGATCAGAAATTCCACGCCCTTCTATTCGGCGTCAATTTCATTATGTGTGGCTTCTTCAGTTCACATGTTATAAACCGTTGACTTGCTATGTGGTTGCTCCATGGGAAAAGGTCCTTCCCCTTGGAGACTTGCTAAAAGCTCCATAGAGATGCTGCATTTGTTTGCACAGCCTTTGCTTTTGTGGCAGACTGTTTATTTGAAAATGGGTGTCTCAAGAAGGTTTTTGGCATCTTAGGATGTCTAGCAACACCAATGCTCATGCATTTGTCTTCTTGTACTCTTTTAAAATATGAATACTGCAGTAATGTTCAGTAGAGTTTGGAGGTCCAAACATACTGTAACAAGAGCATTGCATTATTTTCTTAATGAATTTTTTGAAGTATATTGAGAAGCATCGAATTAAGCTTTTAGAGTTTAAGGATATAAAGAACTGTATTCTTTAATCCTTTTGCTACTCAAAACCATGCTTTTGTATCTCTAAAGAAATGAACTTGTAGTTTGACATTGATAGTGGTTATCTTATCCATGTGGTACTTTCATACAATTCAATCATTTCCAATTATGATTCAAAGTAGATTGTACTAAACGAGTTTTGATTATTTCTCATTACTTTCTGATTTTTCCGTTATTACTCTTCACTTTTTGTGCGTATTCCTGCAGAATATGGAGTGTGTTTTGGATAGAAACTCTAAAACTCGAGTTGATTTTTGGTAAGTAAAAAGTGAGAAAAAATACAACCCACAACCAGCAGCAAGAAGTAAAATAATAATAATAATAAAACAGGAAAGAAATAACGCAAAAAAGACAATAGGATTTTAGGTGATTTGTCATAGATGTAACTATATCCACAAGAAAAGACGATCGACAGTTTTTAACTAATAATAATAAAAACAAATTACGAGTTGGTACTTAGCAAACTCAATCTCTTACAAAACCTCAATGTATGTATAATTTTCTCTTTTTGCGCTCAAGGTTTCCCTCTCTTTTTTTATATATTCCTCTCTATACATAAGCCATTGTAAAAAAGATAAAATTTCTAGAGGGCCAAGGCTTTATGAAAACAAAATAAAGCCTCACCTCAAATTGTCATTCGAAGAGCACTTTCGGCATTGAAAATGTTTATGATGGCTCTAAAATTAATTTCCAATACCAACAATAAAATTTGAAACTCAAAAAATTGCACAAATCTTGTGGATATGTGAACACTTGTTTTTTGGGTGAAATGGATGGTCTAAATGATTTGTTGCAATATATGCTATCTTTAACGCTTGAAATCCTCCTTTTTCTTTCGCAACTTTTATATTCAAGCTGGGTAGATGAATTATAATTTTTGATGAGTTATGAGGTGCAGCTTTCCTTATTTTGATAGGGCTGCAGCCCTATCAAACCATTTCCCTTATAAAAAAAAGTGAAAAGCAGCCGAAAGGCAGGTACACTAGGACCTCTCCATATTTGAAGCTTAACATTTTCTTAATTTGGGTCTACAAGTCCATCCTAATCCAAATAGGACCACCCCAAAGTTAACTCCTAGATAAGTCCTCTGGATGTAATGATTGTTTCCACTGAGTTTTTCTTGAGAGAGTTTTTAATCCAAGAACTAATTCCAATACTAATGAGGCCTCATGAAAGTAAAAAACCTTAACGACATATAGTTCATTAAATACAATATATTCATATAACCATAAACAAACTGTTATAGTAAAAAAAATTCCCATGTAACGAAGAGAATGAGAGGATTATTATGGTGCGACATCGTTTGTAGGTTATGGATTTATAGATTTAGAAAATTTTGCTTCCTTGTCCTATGTGGGATGCTTCTTTGTGATGTATTTTTGCAGTAGAATTTCGTTTCCTTATTCTAGGTAGGATGCTTGTTTCTGTATGAGACTTTAGTGCTTATGAAAAAAAAGTCAATTGCATGAGAAATTCATTTCCTTTGTTTAATTTTTTGTGAAATTTGGTCAAGACCTTGGAACCAGTCAGGATGTCATCAGTTTCCACAGATACCAGAGGATATCCACATCATACTTGTCTGCGGCACGACATACCATGTAACTTAAGTGCATCAAGTTCCCCATCTAATCCTGGAAGAATGTATTATCGGTGTCCAAACAGTTTTTTTTAGTGGTGCAATGAAAATATGAAAGTGATGAATTACAATGTGAACTTGAGGCATTGTAATGTACAACAAAGGAATCACTCACAAGTATCGCAAGAGCATCTTATGGTTAAGCCTGAACCGAATGGTCATTCCACAACAAATTGTTGATGCCTTATGGCATATGCAACAATTCCTATTTTTGTATGTAATGAATGCGTTTATTTTTGTACCACTTATGTTAAAAAGTGTTTGACATGATTAAAGAGTTGGTTTCGCAACTCATAAAACAGTTATTCTAGTTGATATTAACTTTAGAAATATTTTGTTATGGGAAAGCCTTTTCTATGATATTAGCATGAAAAGTAATTGCACCTTGATAATTTTCTAGTATTGTGGTTGATGAACCTTTGATTTTCAAAGCTACACAATTGGCCTCGACTTCGGACCAACAACAACGCATACCGTTCTTTATTAACAAACTACAACAAATTCCCACCTCTTACAATGGAAGATCAAGGATTCATGATACATGGAGAATCCACTAGCAGCACCAGATCTCCAAATTGATGCCTAATTGCCAATACATAATCATAAGAATGACTAATTTAAACATCAGCACTGAAGCCCGTGAGGAACTTCATCTGCAAATATACTTGCAGACGAACATGAGGTAACAGAGCTAGCAAATTCTCTGGGTTATTCAATATTTACTCTTGAGCTAGTAATAGTTGAGATGTTCGTGGCTTCATTAAATAGAAAATTCTTTGGGTTATTCAATATTACTCTTGCCAAATCTTTGGGTTATGCAGCGAACCAGTAGCTTATCAAATAGCCAAGCTCTGGCTTTGACCACCAAACAATTGAGCCAAATCTTTGGGTTCCATGAATGCAACATCAAGTAGCACAACCTTCAACATCGTAGACGACAGGTAGTACCAGGAACACATTGAACTCAATCAAAACCTTCAACATCGTTGTTTATATTGTTGCCAAAATTTATACTTCATTTAATGAAAATAACTACATTTTCAAATGCATAAAGACCAAAAGATGAAAAATAAAATAACAAGGAAACTAAATTTGTACCAAATACATAGGCCAAGAGGTCAAAGTGAGATATCACTTAAATCATTCTTTCCAAATAAAAGTGTACACTGGGGGTCATAGAGTCATCACGTACAGGGCTACATCGCTTAAAGTTGCAATCTACAGGATCCTTGATGCTTACAAAGGATCGAGAAACACTCCCTGAGTACTCTTGTCCTTTAGCAGTAGCATTCATTTCCTCATCGATAATGGCATGATATGATGCTAATTAATAACAAAATTTCACTCTCAAATAAATGCATTGTACGTCACATCCGTCATTATGCAGTTATTAAGCCAAATCCTAGGCCAATGTGAATATGTGCAGATACCACACTCATGAGCCATAGAAAATAAAATGAAAAAGTAACAAAGAATGGGAAAGAGAATTTCTACCAAATGTCCATAAACTGTCATAAAAAAATTCCCTCTATAATGTACATCAAGGAGTCCATCTCAGACACAAGCAACACACCAATTGTCCCCCAAAAACCAAAAAAACATTCTGCACAATATAAGTTAGACCACTTCTCCCTAAACCCAATCACCATGCCAATGACAAAAGCATAGAAACATATTACATTGGAAACACCACAATCAAACCGGGCACAATAGATAACTACATCACAGTGACCCGAAAATAGGGCAGATCAATGCTTCCAACCAAGCTCATGCTGCAAACCAGATTTTATGTATAGGCCAAGAGGCCAAACTGAGATATCGTTCAATCGTTCCTCTGACGACTCACCAATATTTTATGCCTGCAATCACCTGCAGTTCAACAGTCAATGTTCATTTTCAGCAGTCAATAAACAACTTAGAACCCCCATATAACATACACAGGCAATTCAGCAGTCGATGTTCACTTTCAGAAGTCAATAAACACCACAGAATGTGTAGGAGAACATTGTCCATAATGAAAATTCTAAAGTCATAGACAATCCATACACATGGATCAAAATCTTAATAGACAAGAAAAACTGAATTATACAAGAAAATCAGTTTTGTAGCATAATAGTTCACAATCAGCATCTCAAACATTCGACTCAAAATGTTCTTATAATAGCAGATGGATAATAAGGCATAGAACATTTCACATATCTCCCTAACTACTACATAATAGTTATCCTCATTTCCTTTTAACATTGCATCAAAAAACTTTTCTTTTATCACTGCAATAGTACAGATTCAGGGGTAACAGATCATACAATTTGCATCTAATTCATAGTAGATTAGGGGATAACATATCAGTTATCCTTATTTCTCAGGTTCAGTACAATTTCCAACATCTAATTCATTGTAGTATCTCCAATCATATCATATTCCACCATCTAAATAATTTAATTAGGTAAGAGCTAAACATAGCTTTATTATGGTTCAGTCCGCATTCACAAAGCTTGCTAATTACCAAAGAGAAAGTAGAAGCATCAGAAGAACATCCATCTCACAGCATAGCTTCGCATCATTTTAATGCCTCCTGTAATCGATTCCCGCTACCAAGAGACATTAAACAATTATATGTGTGGATATCAGGGCCAACCCCTCTGTCAACCATCTCTCTAAACTAGGAGGAAACCTAGGGAAACCTATGGGGTCATTACCAAAGGCAGAAGAGAATCCCCGCCATGGAATTCTCACTAAAAACTAGCTGGTCTAAGATTTTTCTAATTGGAAAGGGTGAGGTTTGATTCTTCCCATCTCTCTCGTCTTGTTGATGCTTGGATTGCATGTCCATCAATGTAGCCAACACGCCATTATCCATATAAAAAAGAAAATAGAGGTGAAGCCAAAAAACTCACCTGTGTGGCGAGAGGGAGACACGCTACTGTGGTGGATTTTCCTGGTGTGGCAAGAGAGTGAGAGACGCTGCTGTGGTCTCTGTGGAGAAGATGCAGGCCCTCCTCGAGAATGGCTGAGAGAGAGAGAGAGAGGATATGGCTGAGATTAGAACGAGAGAGAGGGAGGGAGGGCGGAGGGAGAGGGGTAAGGGAGGGGGTGGTGGTGGAGTAAGAGATTACATGCTCCTTGAGCTAATTTTTGCAGCATTAATTAATGGGCCACAACTCATCAAACAAACTATCCACATGACCCAAAAGTTTATGTAAGACGATCATATTTCGAATTTTTGTCCTTTCTTGTCTTTTCACTCATTCATCTTACCATTTCATCTCAACTACACTCACTTTATTGGTATGTGGTTGTGGTTTTTTGACCGCCAATATTCTACTTCATAAATCAAAGGTGGTTTCACAACTATCCTATAGAAGTGCCTTCAGCTTCATTGGTACGCGGCAATCACATAAAACTTCGGTTGTACATCTCCACTTCGACCATCCAGCTCTAATTTTATGTGCAATATCTTCCTCAATCTCTTCATTTTCTTGGATTATCGAACCAAGATATCGAAAGTGTAATTCTTTTTGGTAATTTTTGGCCGTTAATATTAACTACTTTCTCATCTCTACTCCTATAATCACTAAACTTTCATTCCATACAATTTGTCTTAGTCCAGCTAATTTTAAAGCCTTTAGATTTTAGAGCATTCCTCAAAAGTTCTAACTTTGTGTTGACGCCATTTAAGGTCTCTTCTATCAAAACTATGTCACCCACGAACAACATGCATCACGGTACCTCATCTTATAGGTGCCTAATTAAGTTGTCCATAACTAAGACAAAGAGATATATGAGAGTGTAAAAAAACCAAATTACATAGACTTGCACTTAGGCAATGAGACATTACAAGTGAATACAACTCAAAATTCTTGTACAATACACCACAAATGAGCATAACTGTGATTACAATAGACAAATGATTGAGTATACACTAAAAAATAAGAGGAGACAACTCAATTAGGGTCCCATGACCAACATAAAACAAAACTACACATAAATATTAATGAACTAGACAAGTATGAGGCGATTTTAAAACTTCTACACCATTCAATTTTAATGCAAATTTATATATCAAATGACTTCACTTAACTCAAGGAAACATGATCACCATTATTACAATGCAGCATGTCCATGGGAAGCTAATCGCAGTTCTCGAGTGCCCAGTTCATGGCCCTAGGCCTTAGCTATGTGCCATAAAGTGACATCTGATGGCATATCTCAAAATTCAGCCAAATTCATCATGTCAAGAGTAGGAAGCTAATCATCTACTAATATACACTAGAAACATGGAAGAATTTGCACAGATCAAATAAACAAAAACACAAGTGGAGCTCGTGGGAGAAATCTTGAGATTAGATCACAAAACAGTCTCAAGAGTTCACAAAACCGTGCCATAGAAATTCGTTATAGTGTCCTGTCATAAAATCAAGAATTTTATCTATAAAAATGCTATGCTATTCAATTGACTAATTTTGATGTGAAAAACTCAGAAATATCAGTCAATTATCCTCCAAAAATCTCAAAGAAAAGGTCATGGAAACTAGATCAATTTATGCACGATGATCCCTTCAACTATATGGACTAAATTTGATCAAGAATTCATGAATCAATAATCAAATGGATAATGGAACCTTGCTGTAATTAGGAAGCAAGAAGAAAAGACTAAAATCAATAGCAAATGATAAGATCTTACTCAATTGATGGTCTTGAAAACTAGATCATCCATGGCTTTGATTAAGCTTGAATTCATCATCAATGGAGCTTTCTCTCACTTGAATTGAACACACACTTTTGATCTTATGGAGGAGAGAGAAACGAAGAGGAATAGCTTTGGGTGTATCACACAAGTGTGACCAAAGAGAGAGTGGTGTGCCACTTAAAGAGAGAGAGAGAGAGAGAGAGAGAGAGAGAGAGAGAGAGAGAGAGAGAGAGAGAGAGAGAGAGAGAGAGAGAGAGAGAGAGAGA